AGATAACAATGGATGCAAAGCTGTACTACAAAGGATAAACTGCTATAAAATTAAAAATAAAAGTGGCTGATGGAGGAGACTATGATACCACTGTACTTCTGTGAACAGTTGTTAATAAAACAGTCCATAGCAATGGATCAGGAAGGACTCCAGAAAATGCAACCTGTATCCATTATAGTACAAATGCCTCTGCCACTTATTAGCTCTGAGAGCATAAACAAGTCTCTTAATTCTTCAGAACCTCAGTATTTTTATCTGTAAAATGGGGATAACAATATCTGGAAATCATTATCTGTAACTATTTAAAGTGTCCTAAGATCCTTCTATCGTCAGTTAAAAGACAAAAGAGCTAATTAATATTAGAGTTTAACAAGTCAAGGAAATATGTACTAATCTCTAGGTGAACCATTAAAGAATATATAACAAAGTTAGTGAGAAAAATTAGAAAAATAAAAAAATACAAGAAGGGAGAACAATGATAACAGCAACAAAACTTGAAACAGATTAAACATTAGAAAAAGTTGCAAAAATAGACATATAGCCAAATAAATAAGAAATAATGCTAAATATAAATGTAATAAGTGATCAAATATAAGAATTACCAAACTAGATTTAAAGAAAATAAAACAAGTACAAGTTTCTTATAAGAAACTTATCTAAATTATGCCGAGACCGGTTTGGCTCAATGGATAGAGCGTCGGCTTGGGGACTGAAGGGACCCGGGTTCGATTCCGGTCAAGGGCATGTACCTTGGTTGCGGGCATATCTCCAGTAGGGGGTGTGCAAGAGGCAGCTGATCGATGACTCTCTCTCATTGATGTTTCTAGCTCTCTATCTCTCTCCCTTCCTCTCTGTACAAAATCAATAAAATATATTAAAAAAAAAGAAACTTATCTAAATTATAATGATACAGAAAGCTTAAAAAATTAAAAGACAGAATAAGCTATAGCATGCAAACCCTAACCAAGTAAAAGCTAATTAACTATATTAAGGTCACAAAAGTTAAAATTAAGAATTATTAGAGGTAAAGCTGCATTTTGAAATTATAAAAAGTTAATAAAAACAATTCCACAATTAGAGTGAATTTTAACATACTATTATAATAATAGAACAAGCAAAAACCTAGTAAAGGTATAGAATTTTAAAATTCAGCAAGGATGATGTGTAATAACACTATTAACCAAATTCATATAATTGATATTCATAGATAATTATACAACAACTACAGAATACTACACATGTTTTCGAAATCTAAATGCACCTAAATTTGACCATCTGTTGGACCAAAAAGCAAGTCTCAAATATTTCAAAGATTTGAGATCATCCATGATAGGTTCTGACCATAGCAGAAATAAGTAGTGAGTAACAAAAAGATCACTAAAATGTCCCCATATGATTGAAAATTTAAAAACATGCTCTAAGTTAACCATGGGTCAAAGACAACATAGCAATAACAATTAGAAAATATTTTGAATTGGATGATACTGAAAATTTTATATATTGTAACTTTTGGAATGTAGGTAAATCCATCATTATAAGAAAAACATATAGTCTTAGAAGCCATATATTAGAAAATAGAAACAGTTATTAATCAGTGATCTGAGTATCTATATCAAGAAAATATAAACAGAATAGTTAATTAGGCCTAAGGAAGAGGAAAAACATAATAAAAAAATCAGAGCAAAATTAAACAAAAATATATCACTAGAAAGATAAACAAAATCAAAAGTTAGTTTCTGCCAAAACCGGTTTGGCTCAGTGGTAGAGCATTGGCCTGCGGACTAAAAGGTCCCAGGTTTGATTCCGGTCAAGGGCATGTACATTGGTTGTGGGCACATCCCCGGTAGGGCGTTTCTCTCTCATCAATGTTTCTAGCTCTCTATCCCTCTCTCCTCCTCTCTGTAAAAAAAATCAATAAAATATATATTTTTAAAAAAGTTTCTTTCAAAAGATGAGTAAAAAGGATATACATTGGTAATAGTGATTCCCCCAACCCCACCCAAAAGAAAAGGAAACCAGAAATTTCGAGGGTGAGCATACATCCTGATTTAGCATCTCCTTTCAGTTTCAAAATGTTTGGGTCTATATTCTAAATTATAGTTATTTTGCAGATACTCAAAACCATAAATCAAAAGGGTACATCACTGTATATCATCTTCTATAGTGCTTTCTCCTTCTGTCTCTACCTTTCGCCAATACCTGTTTATTTAGATTATTACTTTTTCCTTTTATCCACTGCAACAACATTAGCCCAAGTTACCAATGACTTGTTAACTGGATTAGTGCAAACCAGCTTTCCAAAATGTGTCCCTGCTTCCAGTCTTACACCTACACATCTGTCCTCTACTTGCCACACCTATGGCTATCAGGGAAACTAGTTTTGTAATAGTGTTTCCAACAATCAGTACCAGCCTAAAGAAAACAGACCCTTTTAAGCTTCTCAACAATGCTTATCCCTCTTCTCACAAGCCCATTTCTCATTGGTTTGGTAAATTAAATGCTTTTGTCCCTTCACAAAAATATAATGAACTGGTAAATATTCCAGCCAATGTAGTATTCTTACTCTAACATGGCCACTACTGTGAACCTTTTGATCTCTTCTTTTACTGGTTTCTATGACAGTTCTACTTTCACTAAATCTTTGCAGTAATCCAGAACTATAACTTTCTCAAGTTTCTAAGAGCTATTCTAGCAGTTTCCAAGCATTGCTTTCCAAAGTCTTTTCCTGGGTATTAAAATCTGCATCAATGAAGAATGTCCCTATATCACTATATTCTTTTTTTAATACAATATTATATTACCCTTGCCCCTCCACCTTGTTCCAACATCTCATGACTCAGTCCCACACATATTCTCTTGGATCCCATTTGCCAGGTTCTATATCTGTTTTGGGGTATAGTCCCTTTTCTGCCTTAGCAGATTCAATTTATGTTGTGACCTGGCCCTAGTTTCTGGTCTTGTGACCAGGAAGGGAGATAGGAATAGACTGAGAAGTATTATAAATACAGCATTCTTTGTAAGGCAGAGTCCTCAACATCAACTTCAAGAAAAGGAGCAATGCTATCAATTTCTAACAGGGAGGAATAGACTACTTCAACAGGCTAGAGAGTTCAAGAGGCACTGGGAATCCGAGGATTTTTAGTTACTGACCCTATGGTCCCCAGTGCAAATCCCAGGACTCTTATACAATTAAGGCTCCCAATTTGTCATAGAAGACTTTCTGTTTCTGAGAAATAAACTTCCTCTGGAGCACTGCTATTCAAATGATGAGTCCTGAGCCTGATCCTACATTTTGTCTCTCTTCTGTAGGAGATAAGAATGTTTAGTATATGATGCCAAATAGGCCCTTGGTCTTTCACACTTTATCTTCAATTGGTACTTAATCAGTCATTCATTTACAGTAAACACAATGCATTGATAACATTCAGTTATCACCATCTGATTCCAGTTTCTTCATAATTAATACTAGAGACCCAGTGCATGAATTTGTGCACCAGTAGGATCCTTTGATCTGCCCTGTGGGATCAGGCCAAAACCAGCTGTCTAACATTCCTGAAGAGATCCCAGATTTCAAGAGGGCACAGGGCAGGCCAAGGGACCCCACTGGTTGCATGATTAGGATCAGGGAGAGATGTAGAAGGTTGCCCAGCCAGGGAGGGACCACAGGAGAGCTCCAGAGCATGTCCGGACCTTCTTGCTCAGTCCTGATAGGCCAGACCCCAGCAATAAGCTAACCTACCAATGGAGCATCTGCCCCCTGGTGGTTATCACAGCGAGCAGTTAAGCAGCCTTAGCATATCATTAGCATATTACTCCTTGACTGGTTGAACGGGTAACCAGATGACTGGACACTTAGCATATTAGGCTTTTATTATATAGGACTAGAGGCCCGGTCCATGAAATTCATGCACAGGTGTAGTCCCTAGTCCTGGCCAGTGATCAACGCACAAGCATCTGATGAGAAAGGGCAGGTCCCAGCTGACCTCCAGGCCCTGGGCAGCACCTGGGCACCTTAGCCCTCATGAGTCCTCCTGTGCCTGAGCCATGACACCAGTCTCCACATGGAGAGGTGGTGAACGTGGCCAGACATCATGGGCTGGGGTGTAGCGTGAGCCTCTGGGCCACCCAGAGGCACTGCACAAAAGCTAAGCATGCAGCATGCTCTCTCCTGGCTGGCCTCACAGAATGGCTCCTGTGTGAACCCATGGGGAATCTGACAGGCCCCTCTGGTCCTGGTGGCTGTGGCCTGGCTCACCCTGCTCACCTGAGAGCACATGTCATAGCAAGTGGTCGAACTTCCAGTTAAACAATTTGCATTTTAGGCTTTTATTATATAGGCTTCCTCTCAAAACTCTCAAAATCTTGATATTATATCAACCAGTGACCAATGAATTATTTTAAACTAGTATCTCATCCTAGTTCACCAGGTGAATGTTTTAATATCGATAATTGCACCACTACAGTATGCCAGAAGCTGTACCTACTACTAATGGTGGGGTCCTAATTATCAGATACCCAATGAGTAACTCAGGTCCAAATTTTCATTTTTAGTCTGCAACCTCCAAATGGCTTAGTTGACAGACCCTGAAATAAAAATTTGCATGATGTAAGATTACTGGAGAATATCTTCATGATCAACACTTATGGGAGAATGTATGATGTAGAATTGTACAAAGTAGGAAGTTGAAGTGCAATGCAATAGCAATAGTCTCATCCAAAACTATGAAGATTGGATGGCACTTTATAGTTGTCCACCCTTGAGTAGCATTGACAGATTTAGTGAAAATAGGCTGCTCAGTCAAATTTGAAATTTGGATAAAAATTTATACTTTTTTTAGTGTAAATATGTTTAATACAAGAATTCTTGATAACCTGAAATAAAAATTAACTGGATGTCTGGTATTTTATCTGACAACTCTGCTCTTGTGGCAAGGGGATGAGGCTTTATACCTATTCTCCTGAATCAATCAGTCAGTGGTAGAAGTGTGAGAATTATGTTTGGGCACTTCTCTGTAGCAGAGGAAACTTTCTGGAAAAAGACAACAAATACCCCCCAGTCTTCAAGACTACCAGCAGCTGGAGGACTAAGATCCTTAGTCCTAATGGAGGAGCTTACCTAGGAATAACTCTAGCAGAATATATGCAAGATGTCTACACAGATAACTTAGAGAAAAAAATTAGAGATAAAATTCAAAAGATTTAGAAAAACTTGAGACATTCCACGTGCATGGATTGCATACTATAAAAATGTCAGTCATTTCCAAATCAATCTATAAGTCAACGAAAGTTTCAGCAGATATTTTCATTTAAAATGGGATAAGCTATCAACCATAGGACTTGTATGCATGCATATAAGCAAAACCAATGGATGAAAAACTCTTGGGGGGGGGGGGCATGTATGGGAGTGGGGGGGCAATGGAAAGATATGTACACATATAATAGCTTAATAAAGAAAAACAAAAATAAAAAAACAAAAATAAAATAAAATAAAATGGGACAAGCTAGTTATGAAATATATATATCAAGTGCAAAGGATCTTGAAGAAGAACAAAGTTGGATGACTTAAATTAACCTGACTATAAAATTTACTATACAGCTATAGTAATCAAGGCAGTATTGTAATCGGACAACCAAGGGGTCCAGGCTGCCTGTAATTAATTCAACCAATTCAGCAGAGACAGGGTTGAATTATTTATGAGCATTTATTCCAATAATGCTGCCAGTATGGGAGAGCAGCAGGTCATCCACAAAAATCTGCTTTGCACCCCACCATAAGCCAGCCGTTTATATTGGGTAGATGGACAAAGATTATGTGAGGAAGTAGGAATTACAGGCATGAGATAGTAGGTATGGGATAATAATTACAGGTTACAAATCATGTGGGCTGGGAAATGGGGCAGGGGCTGCAGAGGGCTGGTGCCTCTGGGTGCCCTGAGACCAGATTATAAGCAATAGGGGCTGTGGGTTATAAATAGTGGGTGCCTCAGGGAGTAGATTGTTTCAGCCAAGAGATTTTAAATCTTTCCACAATGATAGGCAGTTTTGGGGACAGGAGGATGGACTGCATTCCAATGTTAGCTCCCATGTCCCAGGGTATATACCTCTCAGCCAGGTTACAATGTACTTTCTCTAATCAAAACATAACCATCATGGTTAACATACCATGGTTAATATATATTATTATTGTAGCTTGTCTCCCATATTCTATTTCAGCTCCTAATATTTCCCAATGCTTTTTCTGTCATCTCATATCTATGAGATTAGTTTTAGATGAAAAATCTCATGCTGCGGGATTGCATTTGTTTCTGCCTTGAAAGCAGTTCTCAGGGATGAAATACAGTAACTGCAAGATCTTGGGAGATGGTTTCCCTAATTTGTTGAATGTTGTTTTCTATCAATTGATAATTTTCAGACAGATTAAAACAGCACATTCCTTTAAATTCATCACAACCATGGTAATGCCACAACAACAAATAATCTGCTTCTGGGTTCTCTAGAACTTCCTCCCTGACTTGGATCAGCTCCTGATTTACCTTCTGTATAGCTCTGGCAGTGGAATTCAGGGCTTTTACCATACCGGGTCACTTCTACATTAAGGGAGTCTACCATTACTGGCATAACAAAAATGGTCAAAGCAATATATGCATCAGGGCTCTACAGGTGATTATTGTTGCAGTTGACATGAGAAGATCTCTTTTGGTTCAGACTCTGTGAAGTTTGTGATGCATAAAGACAGTCAGTCATCCTAAGGAACAGGACCTCCCGGTGCTATTAGCAGAGATATATGAATAGACAGTTATCCCATATATCAGAAACCAACCATCCAGCAGCTTAGTCTGTTCATTATAAGAGAGAGTGAAATTATCAGAATAATTCATATTGTAGTTATTAGTTACTGAAAGACAATAGCACATCCAATAAAAGTCAGACATTTACCACATGTAACTATTGCAGAAACCTTTAGAGAAAGCATCCTTGCATCCTTTTCCCAAACAGTGGGTCCCAACATATAAAGGTCCTTGTATATGACTTCCAAAAATGAATGGAATAGCCAAAACCGGTTTGGCTCAATGGATAGAGCGTCGGCTTGGGGACTGAAAGGTCCCGGGTTCGATTCCGGTCAAGGGCATGTACCTTGGTTGCGGGCATATCCCCAGTAGGGGGTGTGCAAGAGGCAGCTGATCGATGACTCTCTCTCATCGATGTTTCTAACTCTCTATCTCCCTTCCTCTCTGTACAAAATCAATAAAATATAAAAAAAAAAATGAATGGAATAATTCTACATATTAGCAATAGTTGTCCCAACTCCTACTTGGCAAGATGTAAAGGTCCATTCTCTATAGGTTCCTCCATTGCCAGCTTCAGAACCCTTGGAGTAGTGAGAAGCATGTCTCAGGGTCCTATTCATTTCTCTTCCGGTTGGTGCATCATCCTTGCTCTGCTCATGTCTGTCTAACTGCCTTCCACACCCCCCCTCAAGGATCTTGGATCTAAATTCTTTCAGAGAAAAGGGGTGCAGGTTTTCTCCTCTTCTGTAATTGCTTCATGCTGATAAGGGACAAATATATATATATATATATATATATATATATATATATATATATATTTTTTTTTTTTTTTTTTTTTTTTTCCAGAGTGAAGAGATCCTTGCTCTCTGTCAGAGGGACGATGAGGCCTGGGCACTGAAGGAGGTGGCAATGGTGTCTAGATGTGGTATTCCCTGATAAGAAGTAGGGCTTGTAACCTGGTGGAGATAAACTGTGTTATAAGTGTTAGTATGATTGAGGTAAAAGCTAGAGATAAATTCAGAATCCAGTTCAATTCATAGGTGAAAAAAATAAAACTTTGATTCTAATATTCACAACTGTTTGTCATAGAGTCTACTGAAACACAATTTCCCCCTAAAATCACCCTCATTTTTTATTAAGAAGCCAAATTAAGACCAATTTATTTATGGTAATGATAGATCCTCCCTTCGCCCAACTGGTGGGTGGAATATGACATAACCTGCACCTGCGGCCTGAACATATGTGAGTACCTAACCAGGCACCTTATATGGACTATACATTGAACCACCAATAAACACCTGCCAAATACCCTAACCTGCCAAATATCACAACCATAAGCCCTTGTACCTTCTATGGACCACCAATCAGCATGTGCCAAGTACCTTAACCCCCCATTCTTTCCCATTCCTCCCCTCAAAAGACATGTTCACCTCTGCACATGTTACTGTTCTCCCCTTGTGAGACAGCCCAGCAGGTCTTTCTGCTCTACTAAAACTGTAGTCCTGGTTTTTGCACTCTGTTTGATCTTTCATTTGGTGCCAAAGTCTGGGAGAGGTGCATGGGAGCGTGGACTATCCTCAAACCTAGCCCCAAGCTTCTGACTCCTGCTCTGGCTCTGCTTGGTGGTATGGTTCTGAGTTGATTGGCCCACTCTGGACACCTCTCAAACCCTGCTGTACCAGGGAATGTGGGGATCTTGTCGCTTCCTTCTCACTGGTAGGCTTCAGGGACTCCCGCCAACCCCCTCATGGTTCCCTTGACCTGGAAGGGCCTCAAGAATTTCTCATCTACTTGGCTACACATTCTACGTTCTACATTCTACGTAAGCCCAGGTAACTGGCCGGGAAACTCTGCTTTACTCTATGGGAAAGGTCTCCAGGTGACGACCTTGGAACCTTTACTTGTCTCTTTCTCTCTCTACAGGTTGGCTGAGGGAAAAGAAGGGCACTCCTTGTTCTCTCCCCAAATTACCAGTGGCCCTTCCCTCCGGTCATAAAAACCTCTCAGTCCAAATCCCCTTGAAACACACCCTTAGTGTGTCTCCTCTCCAGTCTCTCGACCCTTGGTCTTTTTGGCTACATTAAACCAAAAAAGCTCATTTTATTTTTTCTGTAACACTACCTGGCCATAATATGAACTCGATGATGTCTCTCTGTGGCCCCAAAATGGCATTTTTACTTCCAATATCCTCCAAAAAGTAGATAAGTTTTGCCACCAGACAGGGAAAGCTTTCAAAATATCTACTAACAGGCATTCTCCCCCCCCCCCGCCCCACTTCTGCCCCTCGCTTTGCTCCTCATGTTACATCCATCAGATCTTCCTCAAAAAGTACTCTTTGCCCCCACAATCTGGTCCTCAACCCCTTTTTCTGTCTTCTGACTCTTTCAACCCAGCCGATCATTCATCTCCACCTCTCTGGCATCCACCAATCCCTTACTACCCTGCTGCAGAATCCACACCCCATGGTCTACCCTCTGAGAATTCTATTGTAACTGCCTGCCTTCCCCTGTGCTCTCCACCGAATCTCTGCCCCCATGGTCACCAGCAACCAAATTCACAGGTGGCTGGACATTCCCTTCTCACTTTCTGTTCTTTCTCAACTGGAAAAATGCCTCGGCTCTTTTTCTTTAGACCCTCTTAACCAGCAGCTGCCTTCTCCCCAGTCACTAAGAGCCCAAATCCTGAGAAACATAAGCTCCAAAACAGCCTTTCCCATCTATCAATAACACTCATTTTCAGGCCACCCAAAGACTGCCTTCATCAACAGCCTCTTCTATTCCTGCATCCATTCTACCTATGAGGGAGGCAGCAGGAACTAAGGGTATAGTATGAGTCCATGTCCCATTCTCTATGTCCAGCCTTACAGTTTAAGAGGCATCTCAGGTTTCTTTTTCCACTGACCTGACCACCTTTACTCCCCCAACATACACTGCAAACTTCAAAAAACATATACACATCCACAAACCCCTCAAAAAGACCTCATTAACCTGACCTTTAAGATCTTTAACAATAGAGACATGGAAACCCAAATTCAGAATCAAAGGAGAGATCAGGCCAAGTCTGAGGCCCAGAAGGAGGCCTTCCAGCTCTTAGCCATCTCTCCCCTGAACCCCAAACAAAGTGCCAGTCCTCCAACTGCAGGTAAGTCAGGGGATAAGCCTCCTCTGGGCCCATGCTTCACATGAAGCAAGGAAAGACACTGGGCCAATTCCTGCTCAAACC